TCATCAGCACCCGAGTTCGCATGTTCTTGTCGAATGCTTTTGGTGTGAAGAAGCTTCGATACACAGCCTATCGCAACATGCCAAGGGATCCAATTCATATGGTGTGTTTCACATCTGCATCGAAGGACTTTATTTCGAAAGTCAAAAGAAGCGTGAACGACTTGATCCCGAGGTGCTTTACATCGGTATGCAGATGGGAGCCAATTATGGATAATTATGGGTCAGAGTACCGGAAGTTCTACAAGGAACAGTTCGTGGATGTTGTAAATGGACAACACTGGCACCGGGCGCGATGGAGGAACGTGCAGGAATGGAATGAGAAGGCCCGAACATCCATGTTTCGCAGTGGCTTTGCCCAGATCAAAGACGATCAAAACTAAGGTAATGTTTCAAAAATGTATGTATGGTCGATTGTTATTTGGCTCAAGCCTCCCCCAGTTAGCTATGTAGACGTGGGAAGATTACAATTGACCTGCATCATTGATTGACAAAGCAAAGATTTGAGATCACCGAACTAAACGTGAGAAGCACGAAGCAGGGGATTTTGCTTGGAGTGTGATGGAAACCGTGCACAGGGAGGGCTTGCGGGGCCAACTCGGCTTCCCGCACGCTTGGCAGTACGCTGCGGCCATCTGCGACTACATTACTGGAGAGTCACCCTTTTACACGCCTGCCTTTTCCTTTGAAAACCTGGTCAATGTCCGCTTGCGAGTGGTCAAGTCCCTGCAGGTGTCCCGGACGGAGCCGCTTTGATGCCAACCTCTGGCCATGTACCATTTCGTTTGGCGATAGCCGTGCGAACAACCGCAGAGTCACGAGCTGCCGTAGCAGCAAGGCCTTCAAGGTTCGGCCTGGACAAGATGGTAAGAATAAACGGTAGTTCGTTGGGTTCGGCATGCCCCAACCGCCTAAGTCGACATGGCCTAACCAACTGTAGGACCGATGGTGCACCAAGCTCAAGTCTGTGTTGGACAAACTATGTTCTCGCTGATCTCGTAGTCCAAACTGCGCAATTCTGCGAGGCCAAATGTGATAAGCCCGTTCTAACGCCTTCTGTGCCACAAAAGTTGGCGTGCATAATTCAACACCAAAAAACAACACAGACAAAACGCATGCCCGAAATACCTGAATTTTAATCGAAACCGAGATCTGTCGTAGCCTCCAAACAGGAATTCTGCGCCCAGAAAGCCTTACGTGCCTTGTTGAGCCTGTCAAACACTGCCTCGTCGCCGTTCCCAGTTTTGGCCGTGACAACTCCGAGATATTCAAATTCTGCACAAAATTCAATAGAATCAAAGCTGTCAAACTCTTCCACTACAATAGGCTCATGATCACCGGGTTCTGTAGTTAAGGCTTTAATTTTTCCACAGATAGGTTCACTCCCCATGCCTGCAACTGAGTTTGAAAATTACGAGCAGTGTCCCAGAATTGCATGAGAGAAGCTGTGATGAGATCTGCGTCGTCCGCGTATGTTAGGTCTTCAAGGTCTTCAATCTGTAATGGTTGCCAGGACGAATACTTATCAAACTCTTCTCTATGGTGCAATGCCCCGTCAATTCGCGACTGCAACACTACGCCGCCACCTGATTTTTCCTGCTAGGTCTCAAAAATCGCCGCTAGGAAGATTTTAAAAAGCAACGGAGCCACACAACATCCTTGCCCCAAGCCCGTACCCAACTCAAAGGAAGCAGACAAACGCCCTTCAACGCTCCACTCACTTGTGTGTATTTTCCCGAAAAGTAATCCTTGAGCAGGTTCACAAATTTGGCGGAAACTCCTTTTTTACGCAAAACCTCCCATAACCCGGACCTGGAGATAGAGCCATAGGCTTTGACCAAGTGCACGATGGCGGCCATACACATTTTCAGGCAAAAGACCGAGTCAATCACCCCACGCCCCGCCCGAAAGCCGCATTGCGTCTCGGGCAGCAAGTCCACATCCTCCGCATATTTGTAAATCCTAGCATTTAGTATCTTTGCGTACACTTTTCCTGGCATCGACGCCAGCAAAATCCCTCTCCAGTTTTTACATAGCGTTTCATCTACCTAATTAGGCAGTGGTATTAAGTATGACGCGCACAATTCTTTTGGCAACCATTTTAGACTCTCCCATATGCGGCAAAAGTATTCATGGAGGACCCAAACATTAACACAGTCTAAGTGCATGAGCAGTTCCGCCTGAATACCGTCAGGTCTTGATGCTTTGCCATTTTTTAGTCTATGTATGGCTGCAATAGTTATCTCAATTTTCGGGACTTCCCTAAGACTAGATAGTGGGACTTTGCACGAAATACCTGCTAATTCCTGCGACGAAACCTGTGCCGGCACATTAAGCAATTCAGGAAAATGTTCTTGGCACCTGTTGATCCTTTCCGTTTTAGTCAGCAAAAGATTACCATCCTATCGTTTGCCAGCAGGCTTGCCATTAGCCGCAAAGACTCGCCTGGGTTCTCTGTATGCTGCAAACTGGTAGTTATGGTCTTTAGAGTCCACCGCTTCCTGTATGGACTGAGCCTTTTGGGACCACCAGTTGTCTACCAATGTCTTCACTTCCCGTTTACAGGTTTTGCATGCTTCATTATACTCCTTAGACCTGTGGCCCGAAGGGGAATGGCAGCCGCCTCTATTTTTCGTTGGCTAAGTTCAAGGATTTTGCCCTGATTAAATGTTTTCCATTCTGGCATATTATCAGATCATACCGAGCCCAGCAACGAGTGCGCAACCCTGCGAATACCTCAGCCAAACAGCTTGCACCCATGATCGAAAAAGTCCGTCTGCTAACAATTCATGCAGTTTACTGTTAAATTCGAGGCTTTTTCCGGGTCCGTCAACAGTTGAACGTTAAGTCTACTAGTTCTTATATCCCCTGCTTCCGTGACACCATTACCAAAATGCCTGCCCAAAGCAGATTTACGCTGAATTGAGAGACTCACCTTGACACAACGGTGATTTGTACGGTGAATATATCTAGACATGACCTTAACATCGTGGATTAATCCCAGCGTTTGTTTGCGACACAACATATGATCTATCTGGAAGTAACGCCTCGAAGAAGGGTGGTACCATGTACCATAAACCTTATGTTGGAAGAACGTACTTGCGATGATCGGTGAATCTCTAGGCCTATTTGAGCAAAAGATCTAGCAATCGGACGCCATTCGCATTCAACTTCGGGAGCCCGTGTCAACCAACTGCCTCGCGAATAGCCACTTGATCTGAATCCCATCCTCACGAACCCCGACCCTGGCATTGAAGTCACCTAAAATGATAAGCTCGTCCCTAGGGTGCACCTTGTCCATCATAGCTGCTATCAAGTTGTATGTAAAACATGTCCTTCTCCTCTTCCGAACACTGGAATGTAGGAGCATAGCAAGAAATGACAGAGAAGAACCTGTCCTTGATACACAGCCTGATACGCATAAGCCTGCCCCCTCCGTATTCACACAGTTCATCCGCCTTTTCCAAGCCTTAACCATATACCGGTTCAGTAAGACACCGATGCCTTGAGAGGCCTTTGCAGGATTTTCGAGCCCGGAAAACAAAACAGCCATTCATTGTCCACTTGAAAGGTTCCTTCCCAGGTTCCACCTGCGTTCTGATACCGCATACAAGCTCAGCTTCCTTTCCCCGATTCCCTGCAAAAGTCGTGAATTTTCTGTGGGTCAGCCCCAACTATGCCCAACTCTCCATTTTGCATGAGTTTCAGTTCGCTTTACAAAGTTTGCGCATTCCAACATCCCCAGCTCAGTTTAGCACGCTGCTTACCCCTGTAACTGCCCAGCTGATCCTGCCTGTCCGCGGTCACACGTGGGCGGTGAGTAGCTACAAGGCTGTCTCGAACACTACAATTCCGTGTGGTAGCAATAAGTTAAGGAGGAATAGGCTGCCAACCTAGACCCCCTGTCGGGGAGGACATCCCGCAATTTGCCCACTATGTGGGCCCGTTCCTAGGGTCTGTACCCCCCCCCCGCGGCCAGCGTTGGCCGTCCCCAAAACAATCGCAAACACACAAACTCTCAACACTGAAAGAAGGGATGTTCACCTGGACACCACGATGAGGTGCTGGTCCGTCTTTGTCCAGGGGTGTTGGACGGGTTCAGCCACATGCTCGGCATAAGGTTTTGCGGTTGCTACGGAGCTCCGCCTGTCCGATTTTTTGGGTTTGCGTTTGCGCGGCCCTACATGCGAAGATTTGTATATCGTGTGCGGCCGGCAAGTTGTACATTGGGGGTTTTGCCTTCTGAAGCTTCAGAGTTACAGGGGCATTGGAATGGTGGGCTTGGATTGATGGCATCTTCAGACTGTCAATTTTGTGATGTTTCAAGGTTATTGGGCACGCATTGTTGCCTAAAAAAAGTTTTGCTCATGGACTCCGCGGCAAAGTACATCGTAAAAATCTGAGTCTGTGACCACTTGAAGTTTTCCATGCTTTTTTAAGTCGAGGGATGATTGCAGTGGCAGACAATGCTGATTTCATACCACGCTTGCTACAACTGCTTGGCACATGCTCTAGGTTTGGATGCGCGTGCAGCTGGGGGGCGACGCTTGTAGCAAAACTTAAGCTGATTTCAAGGCAAACTGAACGCCTTAATTATACCGACGCTTGTAGCAGAACTTAAGCTGACTTCAAGGCAAACTGAGCGCATTGATTATACATAAAGTGTTTCGTCGCAAGAAACTAAGTGGTCTCGACGAGGCTGTGTTTTGTCTGGTTCATGTGTGATCTTTCGTGGCATGGCCCAATGCTAGTCAATCACTCGTAAGTACTCATAGAGCTTTGAGAAAAGCAAGCTACACGTAATACCACAGCGTAAGTCCAACTGATTAGACTAATGCCGAGCCTTGGACGCTTCAGCTTGACCCTGTGCTCCTTTTTGTGGCTGGTGCAGGCATCCACCTTTGTTTTATTCTCGTCTTCTGGAGGCAGCCGCTTGTTGCTGCGCATGTCTTGTTCACGCTTGAAGGTTGACCAAAACCACTTAGCCAACCCCGTCTCAGTAGGTATGTGCCGATAAGCAGACGTCCATGAACAAGTTGATTGACGAGGCAGGATTTCACAAGCCCGCGAACACTGCGAGCTTTGGAGCTCCTGCCTTTGCTAAGGCTTTCCAAGCATTGTTTCAGAAGTTGTCGACCTTGGACGAGGATTGCACACAGCTTGGTACGGTAACGCAGCGCTTTCAATTCATTGGGCTTTTGTTCTTTGATGCAGCAGGTTATCACTGGCTCAGGTCTGGACATCCTTGCCAGCGTCCATGTTGAGATTGGTCGTAGCAGCTATTGTTGCAAACTTCTTTAGGTCAGTACAGTGCAATTGAACGGATTGATTCAAGGCCGACGCTTTCGCGTTCCGCTTGTCCAACAATTCTTTCAAGGCCATTCAGGATAGGGGCAACAGATGTTGCAGCAAATCTCCATCCCACACACTCATCCCGGCACCCCTGTGTCTTTTTCAAAGTTCCAAAGCCAGCAGGCGGACTGGGACCCCTTTGTTGGAGCGCAGGCCACTGACCAGGCAATGACTCGGGGCCTTAAGGCCGAGTCCAGCCCAGCTCGAACATTCTTTGGTTGCAGGCAAAGCGCTTTGCCAAACAAACCCTGCAGAAGTTGCGTGGCGCTCGGTCGCGCCTCATTCGTCAGCACATTCTCTTTGGGTGGCCGTGCGCCTTCATGGAGACCAGGGCTTGCTGGCTCAAAGATACACTCTCAGCGCTGGCATATGGCAAGCACGTCCTCTTGATTCTACGCAGGGTCGGAGCCCAGCGTGCGCCGGCCTTTTCCAGAGTTTGTGCTGAAGACGATTCTGGTAAAGGGCAGATGCTGGAACAAGCTGGGCAATGTGTCCTCATTGCTGTTGCGCTGGGCAACTTTCGCGCTGTGTGCAATTATCCAGGGTCTAGGATGGGTGTCTGGAGTGAAGCTCCGCCACCTGCTTTTGGATTGCTTGAATGCTTGGAGTGCTGGTGACTGCTGCAAAAAGGTTCTCAATTTGTTTGGCACAGTAATCCGCTGAGCGTTGCACATGACAGCACCATGAACTGTTTTTGCAAGTCGCAGCAGCTGCTGCTTCCGATTCCATGCAGCTAGTTTCCGTGCTGCTTGGCCAACTCCATGTCACTATTAGAACAGCCTGTCTGAGGCATTTAACAAAATGTGCCAACCCTGCAACTTGCGCATGATGAGGAATCAAGAGCATGATGAACTATGGACCTTTTGCGCTTTCCGATCCTCCGGTGTCCATTTGCGTTGCTGGAGCAGCAGAAGCATTGGACAGGAAAAGAAGCTGTACTAACATCTGATGCCCTTAGTGGCTTCCTCGGTTCACCGTGGCTAAAGTTTGGAAGTCCTTCGACAAATCCTGGCGGTGGGAGTGGGAGTGTAGACAGTTTTGAGTCTGTCGCACTGCGGGTTGAGCTGCTGACCTCTCATTTCCTCAAGTTTCTGCAGGTTACCATTAGAAGTTGCTACTTTTCGGCTTCCCTTGTCTAGATGTGAGTGTCTAATCGCAGCACTGATCACCCAGAGGGCCGCGGCATCTTCAAATGGACGTCGTAACCGTTCATGCAGAGTGCATCCATGAAAGTAAAAGTGATTTTGCCTCCTTGTCTGATTCGGGAGTGCGCAGATGGCCCAGTGAGGCAACGCCTGCTGGAGCACCAGAACCTGATGCATCGACTGCCTGAAGTGCCTCAGAGATAGAAAGAGAAGAAGTGAGAGACCAAGAGCAATGCAAGAAAAGGAGAGATAGACGTGTATATATATATATAGATATATATATATATATGCGAAGAACCTCCCTGTACAATGTGATCGTTCTGTGTGGGCTGAAAAGGGGTGGGGTTTGCAAGCTTAAAGGTGAAGCTTGTGACGGCGATCGCTGCTCAAGTGATGAACTGGGCTCAGGTAGCTGGCTTTTTGGTTCAGGGATCCAGTAGTAGCTGGTGGGGCTTAGGTTGCCCTTCCCATTGTTCGGGTTCTTTTTTCCTTTTGGCCTGTACCTTCGCCGGGGGGATCCTTGACTGGCAATCTTTGTCTTCAGATCCCTGTTGTTTTCTTTGCCTGCCCAGAAGGCCCTAAGCGCAAGGGCTTCTTGCTCATCTTCTTCTGAGGCGGTTAGGCCTCGCTCCTTGAGGCCTAAGGGATATTTGCATAGTAATAGGTGAGCCCCGCACTGGACTTGTTGCAACTTTGGAATCGGCCGTGGAGGCCTTGAGGGCAGCTCTCTCGGCTCTTCAGCCTGCATGTCCTCGTTCAGTGTCTTCTTGGGAGGTTGTTCCTCCATCTCCTCCTTCATCCCCAACCCGTCCGGATACCCGTGTGGCAGCTGACCTTCTTGTGGTGGTCGCTGCTCTCCTGCAACACCTTCAGCCGACGCCTTGGGGTTGCTAGTAAGCCCGGGTCAAGGGTAGGAGTTAATATAGGCTTTCGGCCTCCTCCAGTGGCGGCTTCCTCGCAGCCTGCGACCCCAGCCAGGGTTCCACAGCCTGCCTTTGCCTCGGCCTCTGCTGGGGCTTCGCCTGCAACTGCCACCCGTTCCTGTGCAACAGGAGTCGCACACGTCTTTTCCTGCCCCAGCAGGGGCCTCCGCCTCCTTGCACCATACAGCTGCAGGTGTTGATCCTCCCTCAATGATTCAGCTCTGTTTCTCGTGCGTGGGTACCTTGCCAAAGGCGGCAAGAAGTTCCGTTCTGAGCGCGCCTGGAAGGCCGGGACTGAAGCTGCAAAGGTGCTCTGCGCGGAGAAGGCTGAGGCATCTCCTGTAATTGTGGCTAGGAGCACTTTGTACATTGTGCCTTCGTGTCGGGGCTGCCCTGACACTCGTGCGTTCAAGACTTTCACTGCTTTCAAGGCCACGTGGGAGCCCTCGAGCAGACCGATACCGTGTGTCACGGGTTCCTAGCGAGGGAGAGTCCCGCTTGTATTGCCTGGCCGCAGCCCGTCTTTTCCCTCCAAAGGAGCAATGGAGCTAGTCCAGGAGTTCCTTTCAAACCCGCGGGAGGCTGCCCTCCTAGTGTTTCAATCAGAGGTGATCAGTGCCGAGCTGCCACCTTGTGCAATTTTGCCTGTTCTCACTCGGGAAGGCGGCTTTCTCGCCGCTATCCAAGCTCAGCTTTTGTCTCCGGAGTTCAGGGAGGTTTGCCAGACAGGAGACCTGGCTTCTCTCTCCGTCCAAGTAACGGTGGAGGGCACCGAGGAAGACGCTGGGCCCGTCGCCCCATGCCGTGGAAGCCATCATAGACATGGCGGAAAGCATGGCTGCGCACCTGCCTTACTACGACCCTGTGACTTCCGAGCTCATGTCTTTCATTTCGGACCTCCCGCACGTCTCGCCGAATCATGCTCAGCTTGCGTCCTTTGCCCAAACACAACTCCACCGGCGCCATGCGCGACCAACTCTCTGCACTGGTCTCCGTGTCTCGGGTCCATGCACTACGTGGACGATCGCGGGAGCACCAAGATCCGGGCACTCTCAGTCCGGCTTCCAGGCATTCGAGGACTTCGACGGCGCCCTCGGTTACAGGATGAAGCCGTCCAAACGACAGCCACCAGCCGCGACCCACAAAATACAAGGCGTCAGCATCACTGTGGAGCAACATCACGAGCAACATCACGTGGTCCTCCCACCATGCCCACAACGAGTACACCGCGTGCAAGCCGAGATACAGCAATGCCTGTCATCATGCGAGACGGATGGCAGGGAAGTGCAACTTCCTCAAAGGCCGGCTGTTTGGGAAAGTCGGCCGTGCGCCTCTGAAGGCGATATATGCGCGGGCCCACAGTTCTCAGTCTGCCCTCGACAAACCTACCCCGGCAGCGCTTTGGGCGCTCCTCGACATAATCTCTCACTGCCAGCCCATGCGCATACCTCGCCAGCCAACCATGATTAACTTCGCCGTGATTTACACCGACGCATACTACGTGGCGGACAACACCGTTCATCGTCCCGGCGATGAGGTGCCGAGCCAATGGAACCCCAAAGACTTCACCAAGGCGACAATGGTTGGGGAGCGGTGATATTCACGCGTGGCAATGACGACCACGCCTGGTACTTCCAGGGTCGCCTCCCGACCGACGTCCTCAAACAGTTCAGCTCCAGCACGGCGTCCATCTACGTGTTGGAAGCGTGGGTGGCTTTGATAGCACCGCGCACCTTTGAACCATTGCTCGGCAAGTTCTACGTCCAGTGTTGCGACAACGAGGCCGCTCGGCGTGCACTCATCAAAGGAGTCGGCGAACATCAGCCGTTGAACTCCCCGATCAGCGCCCACTGGGCGTGGCGCAATCGTAGGGGCATCGCACACCGGCTGGAAAGAGTGCCCGCCAAAGCCAATATCGCGGACCCCGTCCGTAGGTTCGAGAACCTTCCATCCGGACTGTTACGTATGGTCTGAGATCAAGATGACATCAAGCTGGCTTCAACGTTAGGTTTTGAAGGCATTCCCCAGCTGGGCCCCATTCACGATGCTCTGGGGCGCCTCTACGTTACGCTGGTGTTCATGCTACGACGGGACAGCAAACACCAGCGACGGGAAAGTTGGAGTTATCCCGAGTCTCCATTATACGAGACTAAACACGGAGCACCTGAAGTGCATCTGAGAGATCATTTGAGGTACACATCTTGACCCTCCCAGTGAAGCGTCAAGCACGCAGCTCCGTGAAAGCCGGCAATGGCTACGTGAATCAGCCTCAACACCTATTGAAGCTCGTGCTGGATGCCTTGTCCAATGGACTGAATTATGCGATGCGGTAGCCGGGATTAATGCTTCGGCTGCTGCACCATCCACGGAGCCTATTCCTGTTTCCATCTTGAAGCCGCCGTGTGAGCCTTTCGAGCTTGTCTCATAGGCTTACTCAACTTGACCATCTTGTGCGATTTCATACCCCCAGTGTGGCGCCATGTGGTCATTATACCACTCCTCAAGCCAGGCAAGGCCAAGAATCGTATTGAGTCACATCGGCCTATCTCTCTCATGCCGCTGGGCTTCAAGCTCCTTGATCGGATCTTGTTTCTGCGCATTTGGCCTGCTATTCGCGTGCAAGCACTGCCGTGGCAACTTGGAGGTAGCAAAGGCCCTGACCTCGCCATAGCGTTCATGGGCGACCTGCTAAGGCTAAGGGCTCAACATGTGATTGATTGATTGTGTGGTGATCCTCCTGGATGGTCAGTCTGCCTATTGCAGACCGCCGCCGCTCGCCGTCATCTCATATTTGCGGAGGGTGCCACATCTGCGCGACGATGACATTCGGATCATCCACACACTGCTGAGCAGCATCTGGTCAAAGCCATTTGTTATGGGGCGCCTTCGTAACCCGCGCAAGCATGAAGTTGGATTACCGCAAGGTGGTGCTTTGTCCACTGCTCTCTTTGTTGCGCTCACTTTGGTTCTCTACGATGGGCTTTGTGATCAGGACACCCCGTGCTACATCACGCTGGATGGGGCCCATGTGCCTCTCACAGCCTCAGGCTTTGTTGATGACATGGCGCTTTTTTCAGGTGACTGGTGTGCGGCGCAGCGCGCACTGGATACTGCTTCTGACTGGGCGCACCATATTCGTATGCTTTTCAACCTCGGAGCTGATAAGTCAGCGGTGCTTATCTCCCAACAGTTGGGCTCACAGTCCCATCGTGACCTGTATTTGTATGGGAAGCCATTGCCGCGGACTTCGTTGTATAGGTACTTGGGAGCCTTACTCTCTGCCACAGTGAATCAAGTACCACTAGCTCACTTGGAACGCCTGTGGATCCAATATGTTGAGCCTTTGGTCTGGTGGCTGGTAGCGGCCATTCCACTCTCTCCTGCACAGGTGAGGTGGGTCGACCTGTTACAGCGCAAGGCCGGTCGCATGCTTCTTGGTCACAACAAAAGGTCGCCCCAGCCATCCCCGCTTGCATGCCTGGGATGGGTACCATGGTCTTACCTACATGGTGCTTGCCGCCTAAGTCTCTGGGTTCGCATGAGGCATGACGAGAACAACCTGATGCACCGTATCTTTCCCTTAGCATGCACTGTGCCTGGCACGTGGGCGCATCAGGTTAGCAGCGACCTTCGGAATGTGTTTGCCCAGGATTCCCCTCCAGATCGTGTCATTTTCTGGGCTCATTTGAAGCAATACCGTCAAACCTGCCGTGAACTGGGGTGGCGTGAGGTGGTCGACAGCTGTGCTCGGCACTGCAACTTGACCCACTTTCCAATACACTTGGCTGCAAACTTAGACTCGCATACTAACATGGTGAGCCTATTCACGTGCCCGGGTTTGACCATGGAATGCTCCATTCTTGTGCTCCGACTGTTCTGTGGTGGACACGGCCTGCGGGCAGGAGACATGTCACCTTCATTGTCTGCAGACTCACACGTATCTCGACACAACTGCTGCTTGTTTTGCTTGACACATGGCAACCGAGTGGCTGATTCTCTTTTCCATTTCCTCTCTGTTTGCCCGCTGTCTACTGTGTATGATTTGCCGGCTATGCCTATGCAGATGGGAACATGGCTCCTATCCACAGCCACGCTCAAGAGGTCCATGATACGATCCATATGCTCAAATTGGCAACGTCGCCAAGCATGGTTGCGGGAAATGAAGCTCCTGAAACCCAAGCAGGTCGAGTCTTTTCTGGTGAGCTTAGGCATGCCGTAGCCATGAGCCTAAACTGCTTTCAACATGCTGCCAAACGGCGCTTACTGCTTGTGGGCGTCTGCATGACAGCAAGTTGGGAGTCAAAGCCACTCACCGAGTGCACAATGCTTCAGGCCTCATGAATAAAAATGAATAAATACACCATCGGTGCGCCTCCGCGCCAGCGTTAAATATCTCAGGAAGTGAAATACTTAGGGGTATTCCTTGATGCATCGGGCTCAGCCCGTAAAAATGTGTCCTTCAGAATTACTCAAGCCGTACACTCCTCTAAGTTACTTAAGCCCCTTCTATCACATAGTTCCCTGCCTCCCTCGTGGAAACTTGCGGTATATAGATCCATAGTCCTTTCTATACTTATGTACGCCATGGATAGTGCATTTCTATCCCCTTCTCAGCTAACAAGACTTAATGCTGTCCACTTCAAGTCTCTTCGGCGTATTTTCAAGATCAAATCCTCGTATTACCATCGAGTCCTTAACCCTTCTGACATTGATTGCTCTAACGAGTATTTGGCTGGTCTTGCCCTTTCCTGCTGCCGTATTATCTCTCCTTCCCAAATTTACTCCCATGATAGGCTTCGCCTATTGGGTCATATACTTAGACATTCAGATTCGCTAGAATACAATGCGGCCTTTATGCTTTCGGGCGCCTACCGTTTCATTCAAGGTCCGAACAGGGTAGGCAAGCCTCGCCTCCATTGGACGGAGTCCTGTATGACTGAGGCCTCAAATCGTATAGACTATCTGGCCTCAGATTCCGCTCCCCACCATGCAGATATCCACAATGATTACTTTCGGATTCCCAATACTCAGGAAGTGCTCTCAGTGCATGCTACCCAAAGCGTGGTATGGATGGACAATACGCTCCTTTATCGCAAGGTAAAATCTAGCGCCCAACAACATCCTGTATGGAATAAGGTTCTCCATAAGCCGTCAAAGCACAATTCCACATAATAGAAAACCTAGCTTGATAATTTGGTCGGTGCTGACGGGCTGAGACAAACAGCCTTGCGCAGAGGAAAAAGATAGAGAGAGAGAGAGAGATAGAGAGAGAGCGAGCGAGAGAGAGAGAGATAGGGGCAGCATAATTCAATGCGACATGTTGCAGGCGCTACATGCACTGGCACCACTTGAGCCAAAGCCAACAAGTGGACTGGCAGCTCGCAGCCAAGCTATGCATGCAACGGTGTTAGACGGTGTTAGACAGTCGCCGCAGCAGCAACATGTGGAAGGAAAGCTCTTCTGACTCTTCTGTGGTATGTCTGCAAATCACTAGATATGTGTGTCTGTGCCCGGATCATTTTGCACACTGGCAGCAGGTTGTTTCCAAACCGCAATTTGGACGCATGATCAATCTTGTCCGCCTGAAGGCTGGGTGCCCATGAGTCAAATGAACGAAGTGCGAGTCATGAGAAATTGAACTTCCCTGAGGATGCCAATCCTGGCAAAGTGCTTGAGTTCTGTCGCTGGCTGCTTTCTTATTGTTGGCTCCACATGCACCGAAGCTATCTGCGTGGCAGACATTTGCTACCATTGGTGCTGTGAGCAGCCGAGCAATCATTGAGGTTAATGAGAGCTGAGGACAGGGTCCTTTTCCTTTGTCATCATGGTAGAAGCGGCCTCTTTGGTTGACAGGTGGATGCCGAACAGAGCGAAAAGGCTGAACCTAGTCTTTGAAGGAAGGCAGCACAAGGGCATGTGGACAGGATGGGGAAGAAAGTGACCTGCCCAACCCCAAGCGGCCAAAGATGGACACAGTGACCAAGGCAGCGAGCTTTGAGCTGGTATGGGAACTTTTGCTCTAGCTGTTAGCTGAGTCGCCCATGAGAGCGCGGCAAGGATGATCAGCGCTGTCTGATTCTGTTGAGGACCACGATGACTTTGGAGAGCTGCCTTCGAAGCCATGGCAACTTGAGGTAGGCAGCGAAATTTTTACAAAGTGTTCTAGGCGCCAGCCAATATCGATGGAGTTTATCATCGTCGCCCTTTTTCATCATGTGCTCACACACTGTGATTATACAGCTTGAGTGCCTCCTGCTTTTGCTTATCAGCTGTGCCCAAAAGCTGCAGGCGGACCTTTGCCTTGTGCCGGCTTTGGAAGTACTGCACAAACGATTTGCTACAGCAGTGGAAGAAAGATCACTCTTGAGGAAGTCAGCAGAGCAGAGCAGAGAAGAGCTAGGAAGGACCTTTTAAAGGCATGCGAGGACTAAGGACTTGACAGTGTGGGTGGTCCTGGAATGTCAGGGAAGAACGTGAGGCATCCCGTCTCCCGCGAGGCTCCCACAAATGCACAGTATGTAGTATTTTGTGAGCACTTTTGTCCCGGAACGAGGGTGCTGGGGTAGATGAAATTTGTTCGCCACATCTCAACACCACGAGTAGAACCTCGACAAAGGTCGTTCCCCACTAGCCTATCGAAGAAACCTAACTCTTGCCTCAGTTTACCAAAAACTGAGATGCCTGTCTGAAGCCATGGGCCTGTGGAGCTGCAGGTCCATCTGGTGCCCGCCTCATCTTCCCTCCCTTGTATAAAGCTGCGCCCAGGAGAAAACACACGGCAAGTCTTACTGTAATCCTACTGGCTTCACTACATACCGACCACTGTGGGTAAGGGGAAAAGCGAAAACCGACCAATCGAGCAATGCCAATCAAGCAGGCCCAATTGACAAGACAGAAAAGAGAGACACCTTGGCTCGAGCAAGAACTTATGGGCTTAAAGCTGCCAGCATCGAAGTAAGAACTGAAAGCCACAAGTGGCTGCTTGATTGATTTGGCAAGTCCTCAATTCCGGAGAGAGTCGGAGCACAAACGCACACTTGTTAGAAGCTTGAAACCAAGGCAATAACCTCGAAAACCTCATACCCCCCCCTCAAACCAAGCCAAACCCTGCGGCACCGAGCCAAAATTCAAGGCGCCCCCCAAGCGCCAAAAAGTCGTACAAGATGAATCGTAGCTTAGGACCTCCAACTGGACTTCCAACGGTCGGAAAAGGCTTAGTGGAGACATGGACATGCGCGCACATCCACATATTCACTGGAGGGCGGTCCTGTTTTTGCTGATGCTGGTGCAATATCTGTGCCATTCTATGCACGGACTCTTTTGCAACTGACCGAACATCTCCGAGCGTAGGCCATAAATGCCAGGCCTAACCTACTGCCAGAGGATTCCAATACATTCCTCGCATGATCCCTGCCAGCCTTGCAGTCCTTCTTGCTTGGCAAGTCCTCTCAATTTTTCAGGACAGCTGAAAAAAGATGTTGGGCATTTCTTGCCTTGTCGTTGATGGCCCGGCCTCTATAGTTCTGCTGCATCACTATCTGAAGTGCCACTTCTTTTGTGAGAGCTTGTCCAGGAGATCATGCTTGCCAGCCCTCGCATTGGTGGTGTCCATTTGTCGGTGGTGGCTGAATCATTTGTTGCTGAAATTAGTATGTAGTGGAAATAGTGAGCATGGATGGCTTTTTTGTGCGTTGCAGAGAGCTGAAAGATCTGGTGGCCTTCTCTGCAGGAGGTGGCCGAGCTTGTCCTCACGGTCATGCTGCAGCAGGGTCACAAGACCCCAACGCACATGGCCAAGATCCTGGCGGGGGTGCATTTGCTCTAGGGGTGATAGGTATGCAGCTCTTCACATGCTGACCCTACCTGCAGTCTGTCAGCCTGCACTCGTGGAACGTTCTACTGGTGGCTCCGATTGCACGCAATGATTTGTCTGATGTAGTCGCACAGGCATTCCGTTTGGCATTGTTGGCTTTTCTAGTTGTGCAGTCTGCAGATCCACAGATCTGGTGATATGCGCTGTGCGAAATGCAAGACCAGAGCTAGCTGTGAAATTTGTGCGTTGCAGCACCGCCAAGATGGAGCCGTGGGCCGAATCTGCGCAGTTCTTCATTGTAAGCGGGCCGCCTTCTGCAGGGAAGACTACTTTCCTTGAGCATTGTGCCTCCAAAATGCAACAGGCAGGTCTAAGAGTTGGCGGCCTCGTAGTTCCTGTTGTGAATGGACGCCGTTGCTTGCGTCTACTTAGCAAGGCAGAGTTTCGTCCGTTCCAGCTAAACAATGGCAATCCTGGCGATGGCTGTGACGCGAGCAAGTTGTCCGACACAGTTGCAGGAACTCGGGTAGGCAACTTTGTTTTCAGTCAGGACGGGTTTGCAGCCGCTCGGTCCGAGTTGGTATACCTCAGAGATAGCGGGAGCTCCTTGACCGGTCAGCGGACAGACTGGATACTAATCGACGAGATTGGCCCATTGGAATTCCGTGGTGATGGACTCGAACCAGCTCTTGGGGAGTTGCTGCAGGCAGCATGCCTTGGTAAACTGGGGTCTCCGCGGCCGCGCTTTCTGATGATTGTTCGGCCATCGTTGACGGAGGAAGTGATCAAAGCCTACAACTTGGATGGGCCTGGTTTGAAATTGGGCCAGAGCCTGGCTGAAGCTCAGTCTGCAAGTCTTAAAGAAAGCCCGACGTCCTTAATTCACATTGACATTCCAGCGCTTGATGACTTGGACAAGCATATTTGCCAACTGGTGCGTTTGCCCCGCTTGCTCTAGTTCGGTGCGACCAACTTCGGAAGCTGCTACGCCATCAACATCTCACGGTTATGGTAGAGACATGACACTCAGTGCAGGTGACTTAGGCACGTCAGAAGAAACGCGCAGAATTTTGCTGTGTTGCCTTAGAAGTAATTTCTTTTTAAATTGTTTGCAGAGGCCTAATTGTGTATACACACATATGTACCTATAGATTCGCATGCACATAACCACATCTATACATATGTGTATGTATATGCTAAGATCGAATAGTCGATTTTGCAGCGCAAGAGGTCTAAGCAAAACAGTCGTGCCCTGACAACCAATTGATCGCAGGATGGGCATGCTGAGGTGTGGCCGTCTTGTGCAAATTTCATAGGATTTCGGGGTGGGATACAGGCACAGTGCACAGCCTCAAGTGCCAGTTTACCAGACTGCTCAGCACCTTCGGTTGCAGGTCTTGATGCAGTTGAATCCTGGTGATGAGAGCGGAGCCAACAGCCCGGCGCATGGACTCCACACAACTGAAGTCAGGAAGAGAGCATTTTACAAGTTTCAGGCATTTGAGTCTCCAGTGGAGGGTCTCGCAAAGACTGCGTTCCTGGGTGTGGTTTTGCTTGATAAATGCGAGCTCCTAACTGAGGCGTCTCAGTTTTTTTCTTTTCCTCCTTTTTGCGGTGAAAAGTACCGACAACAGGTTTTTTGCGGCCTTTTTCCCCAACCTCGCAGTGGGGTTGTTGGATTTGAAGCCGTCTATGTTCTCCTCGCATCTCCTCGCCCTCCGCTGCCCAGGGCCCAATCGCAGAGCATCCACCAACGAGTATCCGTGGGGTACCGAACCACAGAGTATCCCTGGAGAGCCCAGCCGCAGACCAGCGCAGAGTATCCCCCTGCAGTGCCAGCCACAGAGTATCCCTGCCATGCCCAACCTAAGAGTATCCCTATTGCGCCCAGCCCAAAATATTCCAGAGATACCCTGATCTCATGCTGCAGTGCCCAACTTCTGGGCATCCCAAGCCACCCCAGCGGTAGTGCTTGGAATGTACAGATGTTATGTCTGCAGTCTGGCACCGCTTTAGAATTACGCGGTGATGCATGCTCCACATTGTTGGTGGAAGCAGTTGGTGATGCCAGCAAACCACAAAAAAGGGGTGCGGATGTTCGGAGCGGATGAATTTTGTTTGCTTTTTGGTTCTTCCACTTGGCAGCTGTGGCCATTTCCAGCCAGTGCTGAATTCTTGGAGGGCTGCGCGATTGAAGTCTAAACTTGATGTTGTCAACGGTCGTCACATGGCCGTTGCGTTCTATGAGATATTTCCTGAGAGTTCGCTTCGGCAAATCTGGATAATGAGCTAGTAGTGCTCATGATCGGGATGCTTCGGCCAGAGAGCTGGCGCCTGAACAAGTTCACCAGCAAAAAGAATCCCCTTGCATTGTAAGCCTCTCAGAATCATCATTTTTAAGGGAAATCCCTGATTGTGGACACACCCTCACATTAATGCAAGGAAAGACAACCCCTCCAACGCCGGTAGCAGTTTGCATTCAAATGACAATTTTCCTGGCCACTCCTGGCCTGTTTACATACATGATCTCATTGGTTGCAGAACAGTCCAGGTCTTGATTCTTGCGTTGAAATTTCAAGTACTTGAAGTATCCAAACTAATTTGGTCATCTTGACTGACGGAGATCATGCAAAAAGCATTGCCTCAGAATTGCTCTATGGCAGTCAGATTGTTTGAGCTCATCCACGGAGACCCTGTGTGTTTTCCACGGACAAGGATGATCAAGACGGATCACAGGCACTCAGAGTTTTCCAAAAGGGGACCTGTTGCAGTTACATAAAAGGCCTTGGAGAAACATGTTCACCAATGTGGAGTCTTTGCAAGGTGGAGTTGAGGATTAGAGCCAAGGCGTCCAAGAGCAAGGAGAAAAGGAGCCACTGCACCAGGAAATCCGCAGAGGAGGCAGAAGCCACAGTTCAACCAATGCATTGCGCAATTGTTGCAAGGCACAGTCAGGGAGCAGCGCCGCCGTCACACAGGGAGGACCACAGCCCAACCACCCCACAGCCTGCGACGGACACATTCAGTGGAGCTGTAAACAGCCGTGCAGGAAGCCATCGCCGTGCGAATTCCAGAAGCCTCC